CTCAACATTTGTGAAGAATTTGTGTATATAAAATTAGATAACGACTCACTAAAAACTCAACATTTGTGAAGAATTTGTGTGTATAAAATTAGATAACGACTCACTAAAAACTCAACATTTGTGAAGATATTGTATATAAAATTAGATAACGACTCACTGAAAACTCAACTGTTGTGAAGATATTGTATATAAAATTAGATAATGACTAACCAAAAACTCAACATTTGTGAAGATATTGTATATAAAAATTTAGATAATTACTTACTAAAAACTCAACAGTTGTGAAGATATTGTGTGTATAAAATTAGATAACGACTCACTAGAAACTCAACAGTTGTGAAGATATTGTGTATAAAATTAGATAATTACTTACTAAAAACTCAACAGTTGTGAAGAAACTGTATATAAAATTAGATAACGACTCACTAGAAACTCAACAGTTGTGAAGATATTGTGTATAAAAATTAGATAATTACTAACTAAAAACTCAACAGTTGTGAAGATATTGTATATAAAATTAGATAATTACTAACTAAAAACTCAACAGTTGTGAAGATATTGTATATAAAATTAGATAACGAGTCACTAAAAACTCAACAGACAATATCTTCACAATTTTCAGAAATACTTAAAGGATATGTTAGAAAATGAAGAGCCAGCGAAAAATGAAAACGCAACTGAAGTAAGTGTTGTTTTCAACTTTTCATGTCAATGGGAAATTTTTGAGTTTACAATTGAAGTACGTTTGTTTTATTTTATCTTTTTTTAATCAAAAAGAATATGTTGACCTGATGTTAATAATGTTGACCTGATGTTAATAATGTTGACCTGATGTTAATAAAACAAGCATCAAATTTTGTACTGATTAATTATATTAACTCCATTTGTTTTGTTCCGTTATAAATTCCCATCTTTCCACGAGCTTAGTTAACAAAAAACGAATTTAGTTAATGTTTTTATTTTATTGATCAGTATTATGCAGTTTAAAATCATATAACTTATTTGTAACAATAGAATACTAAGTTTAAATGGCCTGAAAATAAAAGATTTTAAGAGTAAACAACACTTTTACTTACTATACAGTAGGAGACATCAAAATAAACAAAAATTAGCTGATAACAAGTCAAGGGAAACTTATAAGGTCGATAGAAAATAAATATCCTGCTAAGATAGACATTAAATCTAACTCAATTCATTAATTTGTGTTTTTGCAAAAATATTCGGTTCAGCTTTTTGAAAAAAAAAAAGCAAAAGTTGATGTTTTTTTTAAACAAAATCCAAGGCCACATAATGTAGCAGATGTGTACATATCTAATAACACTGTTTCCAAAATCTTTTGCACTTCAATAGGAATATAACTGATGGAGTCCATTTTTCTCAAGTGTTGATGCGCCAAATAGTTTGAGAGTTTATAACTGATGGTTAAAGGGTCCTTTAAAACATATTAATCACATAAAAAAAGTGTAAACAAAGATACTATTAATATTGCAATTAATCCCACTAATTACTACTGGAATCTCCAATCTATTTCACATAGAAAATGAGTGATTTGACTCAATTGGTCAATTCTTCACAGTGAATGTTCTAGTAGGGGAAAACAGTAAAATTATCAATAACTGTGGTTTTGTTTGGAATTACGCACAAAGCTACACAATAGGCTATCTGTGCTCTGCCCACCATGGGTATCGAAACCCAGCTTCTAGCATTGCAAGTCTGCAGACATACCGCTGTGCCACTGGGGGGCAATAAGTGTGGACTCCATCTGTGGTAAACATATAAAAACAACTCTGTAATTTAAGGATTAACACCTTTTTTCAAAGAGTTCAACAGTTTTAAACCTGATAAAATTTAAAGCTACCATCTTTTCCTAATAATTGTTACAGAGACATCTAAAAACATTTTAGGTTTTGGTTAATTCCCTAGAGTTTGTTTGTTTGTTTGTGAATTTTGCGCAAAGCTACACGAGGGCTATCTGCACTAGCCGTCCCTAATTTAGGTTTTCTCTAGCGAATTAGTCCCGGCACGGCCAGGTGGTTAGGGCGCTCGACTCGCAAACATGCTCGTCCTTTCAGTCGTGGGGGCGTTATAATGTGACGGTCAATCCCACTATTCATTTGTAAAAGAGTAGCCCAAGAGTTGGCAGTGGGTGGTGATGACTAGCGGCCTTCCCTCTAGTCTTACACTGCCATGATACCAATTAAATAAATACCTGTTTCTGTTCAAGGTTTTTGCAGAAGGAATTTCTCATGAATATCGTTTGAATGATAAGAATTTTTTAATTTTCCAGCTATACAGAATGCTAGAGAGATGCATGGCAAGTGTAAACACCTTGATGTTCAAGCACAGAATATTGCTTGGACTAGATGATAGAGGAAAGATTTCCTGTCATAAGATTAATGTATCCTTATAGTGCTCAAGATGGTTACTTGTTTACACTCTTGAATCTTTGGCTGTATCTTCCATGATCTTTCCTTTACTTACAGTGTATTTTTTGTTTTGTTTTTATATACAATATATAGAAAAATAGATATTATAGGAAACAGATTGTATATCCGTTGGTATCATGGCCTATAATATCTATTTTTTTATGATATACAATCTACCTTATTACATAAAAATCAGTGAAACCACCCTATTTTTTCATTCAAGATACAAATTAAATACTCAAAACCATTTCTTTATTTATCATAAAAGCAAAGAAATTTATTACATTTTTATTTTCCCTCAAGGTTACGGTTCATCATGCATAATAAAAGTTATTTAAAATGTTATACACTTTATTTATACGTTCACATTTTTATTCACAGCTAGTCAGAATTTCACAAAGCTTACCTTTACTTTCACCCACATGCAAATAAAAATTCCAATAGCATTTACAATCAGCCAAACGATTCCTCCACCAAACAGAGCAAGGCCTCGGACGCCAGAGAACAGAAGTGAGAGTAATATGACAAAACCTAGTATTATCCACACCAACAAAACACGCTTGTAGCACGTGATGTACAAGTTGAAACGTACATCGTTGACTAAGACTTGCAGAGCCATCACATAATCTTCTACTGTCAACTGGAAAGATTGGATTTCAATTCCATAACATTCGTTTTAGGTAAAAGAGTTAAGAACATTATTTAAATTATCCATTAGATATATATAGACAAGGTAATTCGTACCACTCAAAACACGTATCTTGTTGAAAGATTGTACACTACTTTTCCCGAACCTCAAAGTTCCAATGCATTCACGTACATTTTTCAAAGTTAACATTTAAATCTAATAAATGTAACCAAACTTTAATGTACCACAGTAAAACTATGAGTAATTAATAATGTTCTTACTGTAAGACCCTGAGCCATAAGCTCTTCTGGTACCAATTCTGGCTTGAACTCTGCCTTTGTGATCCAGGGGCACTTCTGATTCACGGGTAATAACGTGACAACAATATCACCGTTATCTGCAAAGAAAGTATGACGACACCCATTTAGAGTATGCAATGGTTTATTTACCACCGTTAGAGCTGAAAATTCTCACACTTTGTTATTCAAACAATTGTATCATAAAAACCATTAGTTTTAAATTAGTGAATCAAATATTAAATGTACAGTTTTCCCAAATTACCCAAAATCTAGAATATAAAAAAAGTTAAGTGATCTAAATAAAGCACTTAATAAACATCAAGTATTTCTTTTAGTCAGTATTAGGTCAGTATTTCTTGACAACCTATCACAAAATACGGTCATGAATACAAGAAAATGTAATTGGCTCCATCAAGTTACTTTAGAAAGATATTTTATGATTACTAAAGCTGGAACTTACAGAAAAATCTACACTGGAAAAAGAGACATTTTAATTACTAAGCCTAGTACTTACAAAAAAAGCTGTTCTGAAAGATATATCTCAACTGTAAAGCCTAGTACTTACACAAAAAAGTTGTTCTGAAAGATATATCCCAACTGTAAGGCCTAGTACTTACAGAAAAAGCTGTTCTGAAAGATATATCTCAACTGTAAATCCTAGTACTTACAGAAAAAAGTTGTTCTGAAAGATATATCCCAACTGTAAGGCCTAGTACTTACAGAAAAAGCTGTTCTGAAAGATATATCCCAACTGTAAGGCCTTGTACTTACAGAAAAAGCTGTTCTGAAAGATATATCCCAACTGTAAGGCCTTGTACTTACAGAAAAAGCTGTTCTGAAAGATATATCCCAACTGTAAGGCCTTGTACTTACAGAAAAAGCTGTTCTGAAAGATATATCCCAACTGTAAGGCCTTGTACTTACAAAAAACGCTAAAGAATACAACCATAACGAAGCAACAATTAACCTAGTGGTTTCTCTATATTATGTGAATAATAGATTCATTTCACTGTTTAATTTTTAAAAAAGACCAACACTTGGCAAGATATAAGAAGAAAGAAATTCTGGGTTACTTTAAAAGGAAAGAATTACTTTAAATCAGATCATTTATTAGTAGCCTGATCAGCCATACACAACGTTTAACACCTCTTAACAGTTTAAACTATTATCTAAAGAATACCTTGAAAGAACTATTTGTTTGAAACCAACAAACACAAACTGGGAATTTCAATTCACTTTACAAAGTCATCAATATTGAAATCAAAGAAAAAATATCTGTTATGTTCATGTAATCCAAACAAAAATATCAAACCTACTGTAAGTACTGAAAGATATAAATTACAGAAAAATAGAACACTTATTGGTCTACTTTGGAACTAAATAATGACAAAACTCTACACATGGTGTTCCAATAATCATGGTGTTTTATGCTGTACATAGTACACCAAAAGTAATGCCCTATGTTGACTGAATGGCTTATGTGGGATGCTAATTGTTTTTAAGACTAATAATGTAGGTAAATTAAAATGTAGAATTACACATGGACTGTTCTCTATGTTTAAACGCTTATCTTTTAGTTTCAAACTTTTGAATCTCTTACCAGATCTTTCAATGAGTTTGAAAATATATACAGTCAAATGACATTCTATCATTTACAGTTATGTTGTTGTTGTTGTTTTTTTTGCAAATTAATCAAGTTTGGCTGCTTTTACGTTTACATGCTGCTTAACGTGCCTTTTTTTTTAGTAAATAAGGCCTCACTTACTGAAACCCTGTTGAATACTACGACCAAGTCTCTGTGGTGAAGTCTGATTACTGTGATCACTTAGTGGCACTGACTGCAAGTCATTACGGAAATCCTGAGCAGCCTTTTGATTGGAGAAGTTATTATTTGTGGGGCTGCTGCTGGACGACTTTGGAATCGTTGGCTTCTGAGGTGATAACACTGACAATGCTGGAGAGCTCTTCGTAGCTGAGAGCGGAGGTTTGGACAAGATATAAGAGCCTTGATTTAATATAGGAGAGGCCGATCGACGACTTTCGAAAGAAGCAACGCCTTCTTTGTTGTCACCAACTGCCTCTTGGTTAGAAAGTGCATCTTCTGCTAATGGATGAGAGTGGCTGCTAACTTGAACCGAGTGTGATGGCTCAATAGTTGCAACCCCACTTTTCTCATCTTCAAATTTTATCCAAGACCTGCGTCGAGGTGGTTTAGGAGCGATTGGCTCCTCAGACAGCTCTGTACTCCCCAGCCCAGAAGAGGAACTCAAAGGCGAAGAAGGCTCTGCTTCCCCACTTTCAGAGCTTTCAAGCTTTTCGGACATATTTCACTGTTTTTCTAAAACTAAAAGAAATCAATTTGGTTTTAGTTCAATTCCCAAAAGAAATTTAAACTTTAAAATATGAAAAGATAAACATTTTTATTTGATGAATGTTTAAAAAAACTCAAGGACATAAGCTCTAATGTTTAAGCATTATCTTTAATTCTACCAATGAATTGTTAACAATATGTTATAACTTTATAATCTTTATTTCTACCAATAATAGTGGCTGTTACAACTGTATAAACTTTTTCTACCAATAACAGTGTTACTAACAAGATTTTACAAGTTTAATTTCTTTACTCAAGAGCATTAATAAAAAAGTTATAAGTATGTTATTTTTAAATTTCAGATACAAATGCTTAGAAACCACACTTTTCAAAATACTAGTGACAAAAGATACATTCACCATGTATCAGAACAAGAACAACTTAAGAAATGTCTATAACAGTAAGTATACAGAATGTAATATTTTTTTTTATTTGGTGTTTACTATTGTACTGTTATAATAAAGACTGTTTAGCATTGTTAACTTAGAATTTTATTTAGGACCAACCTAAGTATCCTAAGTTGGCCAAACTTTGCGAGACATTACTGGGATTATGGTCAAAAATATCATTAACAGCACAGATATCCAACTGATAAAACAATGCATTGTAATCTTTACTAGTGTATAGCTCATCAGAAATGATGGGTGTTAATAAAACTCTGTAAAGATTGGTATAAATTAACTAACAACAATTTTATTTGCATTAAAAATCACATTTGTATTTCATAACATTTCTTTATACACGACATTGACGATGTTTACATGTTATTTCTAATGTTTAAAAGCATCCTAAAAGAAACTGTAAAATGTTCAGCATTTCAGTCATTGTTGCATAATACAACATATTAAAATGTTTTTACATTCTTATTTTTATATTCGTGTTATAACTTTTCACATGTTGTAACAAAGTGTGTAAATATTAAAGAAATATATGTTTTTTTTAATTGCTTAATTCAAATACAATGTGTTCACACTTATACACATGTAACTAAATATTATCTGACTCTAACGTTAGTAATAGTAGGTCTATTTGTAGCCTAATTTAAGCCTTAGGCCTAATATATAAATATAACATAAGGCTTAGCTGAAACACTACTTCATTGAAATCCTTGGTAACTTTTATTTTCTTTTGTCTTCAACTCAATGTCAAAAAAACTTAGATGTTCATTAAACAACTGAAAAAATATTTTTAAAATGTTATTTAACTTATCACAGAACGATAATTGAGCCTAAAGTACTATTTGTTTTGTAATTAAGCCTAAAGTAAAGACTACGCAATAACTTACCCTAGGCCCAAGTGCATAAAACTTCTCACAAAAGAAAAAAATATCAATTCTAAATTTAAATCATTTCTGAATTAAACTATTTTGCTGTTATACCACCAGAGTTATCAAAACACAATTTCACTGACTTGGAACAAAAATGTAGGGTGTCTCATCTCCTAGAATATTTAATATTCCACTTATTAATATCTAATGCAATATTATTCCAAGATTTTTCAATGGAATACAGCATAAATATATAATAATATAGCAGGTAAATAACAACTGACAGTGATAATTCACTGATGATGATCTCAGGGTAGTAGAGAACAGTGAAACACAAACTAATTTAAAAGTATAAGTAGTAAAATGATTATAATATTCATAACAATGTTGACATCATAAGATAAGTGTATGGATTCTTTAAGATGAATCGCAGTGTTTAAAAAAAAGACGAGGAGGGTGTAGGTTCAAGTCCAAATATAAACGTCATTGAAGCGTAACTAATTAATCAAAAATTCTACTTTAATGATCCAAGACGTATCGTTTCCAGCATATTAAAAGTCTGAATGTATACATTTCACTGACTTCATAAGTAAATAGTTTACATTTACTTACAGGTACTAGTATATGCAAATACAAAACTAAAATATATAACTGAGGTTACATATTCAAGATTAATTACAACAAAGAGTACCTTTTACATAGAAAAACCTTGTGTAGGAACATTTTAATATTAGCAAAACTGTTTACCCCCCTCTCCCAAATGATTTTCAATACACTTGTGTAAATTTTCACAAATCATAATTTCATTACAATTTTTACATATTTTTTTAAGATAATGAACCAGCAAAACATTCAATTATCATTTTAAAGTGTTTATATATTAATATCACTCTTATGATAGGAGCCTAATCTCTAGAATAAATTAATCACTAATTTCAGGTTTACTTATTGTGTTCCTAATTTATTTATTTTCAAGTATCAGGTTACTAAGCTTTGTATTATCAGTATTAGTGGCAATACTGACTAAGTTTGTCGAACTAGAACTTAGAATGTCTGTATCCAAACAATTATTGGTCCAAAATCTCGTAAATACCCTGCACTTCCAATCCAGTATTCCTGTTTACACGTGTAATTTATATTAGCCTATTAATGAAACCCAGATTGGCACAACTTCAACAAGCACATTAGTCATTACTAAACAGTGTGTACTACTTGAAATTGAACTACTGAATTGACTTGTAAATTGTACTGTTGTAGTCAGGCTACATGGAGTTGTACACAAAAAATATAATTTTAAATTTAATATTTACACAGTAACAAAGTATAAATAAAAATAACAGCACGTTTAACTAACACACCTGTTATTTGCAGAACTGTCAATATATCTTAGGTTCCACTCGATCTCAACCACAACACATAATATAATAATTTTGTGCACCTTGCGTTACCAAACCACTTTTTTTTTAAAAAAAAAAGAAGACTTTCGACGATATTTCCGCACCCACAATACACCCTTACTTTAAAAGTACAAATATAAATCTCCAAACACGGAGTTGTATAACTCGCCCTCTGTAAAACCACTTCTGAAATAATGAACCATATATATATATATAATAAATTTAAGAAGAAAATTCATTGCTAATATCTGAAATTGTACAAATGTAAATACGTCCACAGTGAAAAAAGAAGGGCATAACGTCTTGAAGAACGTAAGCTCAGTAAAGACTGGAAAATATATACAAATCATATTGTTTATGGAATTGATAGTGTTGATGCATAATCTTTTATCGTACGTATGGTAAGACTAAAGGACACAAATAAAAATGTTGGCATGGTGGTAGTCATCTTTAGTTAACACAGCTTCATATCTTTAACAGTGTAGTTGGCCTTTGGAATGGGTCACATTAATATATGATGGATATAGTTAAGATAAGAAAGTTTCAGGGAAGGCTTGATAAATATGTGAATGGTAAGGGCTTGTTTTGAATGTTTTATTTTCATTCTAAAGTTTAGTTTAGTAGGTGGGACGGCCTAGAGAGACCAACAGGTCCCTATTTGTTCGTAAATCATATATATATATAAAGATTATTTTCATCAAACTTGAGAGTCCTTGAATTCTTCACACTGGATGATAGCACCTATGGTCTAAATAATTTTGTATTGTTTGGTTGGTTGTTTTAGAACAAAACCAAATTGAGCTATCTGCTTTGTCCATCTTGGGGAATTGAACTACGGATTCTAGTGTTGCATGTCCATAAAGCTACAGCTGTCCCATCGGTGGACAAATAATTTTGTCTGGTATCAACTTTTAAAGAAGAATAACGTACAGAAGTGTTTTTTTCTTTCTTAAGTGTTCTCGAATGAAAAAATGTTTTGGTTGTTGTTAAGCACAAACCTATTTGTGCTCTTCCCACCATGGCTATTGAAACTTGATTTTTAGTGTTATAAGCCAGTAGGCTTACCGCTGAGCCACTGGAGGAGAATGAAAGAATTAACCTGTTTTAGTTTAATTTTTTTTGTCTTAAGAAATATAAGACTATTTTTTATGTTTAAGCATCGATTGTAATTACTAAAAAAATACTATTTATCAATAATCGTACTTTATTAATTAAGAACAAAACAGGTGACATCTTTTAATGACTAATTTCCTCAAAGAGTATTCAGTATGTCCGAACTAAAATGGAAAGAACAGCAGAACAAATTACGAAGTAACACTACATGTAAACAAAACTAACCGAGTTTTAATATGGAAGTAAACAGACTGTACAAAATGTGTAATACGAAATAAAATCAAATTTTGGTTGCATCAAAAGGATCTAGTGAAAGGGTCCAGAATGAAAGTATACAGTGAATTCATCAACTGACTTTCTCCCTCAAGATGTCTTCTCGTCAATCAGTGCTCTTAAGATCCCATGTATGAATGTTGACCCTATCATGATTTATTCCAGAATGTTTAAATCTAATGTTTCTTACTTAACATGGAATGTTGGATTTACCCATAGTGACTAGTGCTATTCATGCGACTCGTCATTCACATTCAAACATAGGGGAGGCAGTAACCTCGAGATATTTCCTGACATGCCATTAGAGGACACTATCTGTCGACATTCTTCCACAACGTGCAGTTATAGCCAATCCTACCATGGGCAAAACAGGTGTTACTTCTGTATAGTGATAAAGGAACAGAAGCAACTAGTCTTCAAACAAAATAATTAAGAGTTTAATACTTTTTATTGTATGTTTATAGAATAATATGAAAGGTTGAATTTGAAAATGTGCAAAAGCAGCTTTTTTTTTCATATTTATTTAGATGGAATCCTAAACAAAAAACGTTTGAACAATAATTGGTACTTTCAGAACTTAAAATATATATATATATACATAATGCTGTGTATAACTGAGGTGCAATTATTCAAAACATCAATGGTGAAAACAAATAATAAAGAAGATAAACTAACTTTTCTCTGCCCACTAAAGGAATCGAGCCCTGAAATTTAGCGTTATAAGCCCTCAACCTTAACTAGGAGAAAGACTAATAGAATTTATGTATTTTGTGAATTATTTAATTTACAGTGAAATCAAGTTTAAATTTTCTTTCTTCTCCCCACCCCACCTTTTTTTAAGTAGGGCTTGGTCACGATCAAAGATAACGTAGATTACTTTAAAGTGTAATTAATACAAAATGCATTTTCGATAGGACAAACACATCTGTAGCTACAGAGTTTACGACGGTTTTTGTTTCAATATAATTAAGTTAACGATGTATTAGCGGGGATAATCGTAATTTATGGGAACGATGTTTTAGGACCAACGGAGTGGATGTGATTCTAATTTCTTTGGTCATCTTTCTCGTGAAAACAACTGTTGATTCCGAGATGAGGCTATAGAATTATAAACCTTCACGAACTTCAAATCTTTCTCCCTTATCTTGTTAACAGTAGCAGGAGTTATGACCAGCAATGGATTTAAATCTCGGCGAAACACTAACAAGACATATGACCAGCAATGGATTTAAATCTCGGCGAAACACTAACAAGACATATGACCAGCAATGGATTTAAATCTCGGGATTTTAATCTCTGGGAATCAGTAACAGGAGATATAACCATCAATGGATTTTAATCTCTGGGAATCAGTAACAGGAGATATAACCATCAATGGATTTTAATCTCTGGGAATCAGTAACAGGAGATATAACCATCAATGGATTTTAATCTCTGGGAATCAGTAACAGGAGATATAACCATCAATGGATTTTAATCTCTGGGAATCAGTAACAGGAGATATGACCATCAATGGATTTTAATCTCGAGGGATCAGGAAATTTCCTTGGGAATGACAGCACTGTTCAGAATTGAATTGAATTGTGGTTCCTACATTTTTGGAGGACATTGAATGGTAGATAATTCACAGTGAATCGAAACTGTAGGGGTTAAACATATCATGTTCGACACACCACGGTATTAGCCTATAGAAACCGTTGTTCACGAGTAGCCCAAGAGTTAGCGGTGGGTGGTGTTGACTAACTGCCTTCCCTCTAATTTATAACTCCAAAACTATAGCCAGGTGGTGCAGATAGCTCTCGAGTAGCAAAATTTAATAAACAAACAACAAAATAAAAAACAATGAACAAATAGATACTATATTAAATCATAATACATCCTTTACGAAAAAAAACCACCGAAAATTCATATGTGATAACATAACGATGAATCTGGTCATTTCGTAACACTACAGGACTACATATCTGTAATCCTCCCGAAAGTTCGAAATGTTGTAAATAGTAGTTGTTTGTTACAGCCACATCGGGCTATCTGTTGTGTCCACCGAGGGGAATCGAACCCCTGATTTTATTCTTATACCTCTGTAGACTTATCACTGTCCTACAGGGAGATATTATAAACATTGTTTGTGTGTGTGTTTTCTTCTAGCAAAGCCACATCGGGCTATCTGCTGTGTCCAACGAGGGGAATCGAACCCCTGATTTTATCGTTTTACCTCTGTAGACTTACCGCTGTCCTACAGGGAGATATTATAAACATTGTTTGTGTTTTCTTCTAGCAAAGCCACATCGGGCTATCTGCTGTGTCCACCGAGGGGAATCGAACCCCTGATTTTATCGTTGTAAATCAATAGACTTGCTTACCGCTGTCCCAGCGGGGGACATTATAAATAGAAAATACACTTTAGAAACAATAGTTCCGGCTCAACAACACTGATTTGATAACAAGAGATTTATTTAACTTGTAAAAGGTGTATAAATATGAACTAACTCATAAGCAAGTAATCACTACGTTATTATATCTGTAGAAACACTCTTCTATATAAACTTGATACGGTTTTCTGAAGATCAGCAGGAAAATATTTACTGTGATAAGCTCAGTTGCTACGGCAACAGCGTTCCATGTCATTTGTTATTTCTTTGTAAAGTGGAAACAATTTACGCTTTAGTTATTAATTCGTTTTTGAGTTGTCGTGACCGGGATGCGGATCAGAAGGTCTAAGGTTTGTATTCCGATTCAATTGAATAAGTTCGACACTTTCAGTTGTGGGTGCGTTATAAGAGTGAGAATCAACCCAGTTAATCAGATCAAAGCTCTCTTGGCGGCGCGAGCTGCTGACTGGCTCCCTTCCCTCTAATCTGACCCGACCTTTTTAAAGAAACTTTATTGATGAAATATGAATAATAGGTTTATTACACTCTTTCAATTAATAGTAAATACGTTGTTTTGTTTAACATCTTTATTGTTATAGCTGATGGCACACATTGATGAAGTATTTCTTTGTTTGTTTAAAGTTAAGCACAAAGCTACACAATGGGCTATTTGTGCTCTGGACACCACAGGTATCGAAACCCGGGTTCTAGCGTTGTAAATCCGCAGACATACCACTGTGCCACTGGGGGGGGGGGGGCTTGAGGAAGTAAACATTGCATAATAGGCATTGTTAGATAATATTCCCCCTTCATACTCTATTTTGTTATTAAATCCCCAATGATCTCATTAGATCCTAATTGATATAATAATTGGCTCTTTTAACTCATTAAATACTTGTGTCTTTAAATTTAAAGCCAAAAGTATATAAAATAGTCATGGGTGCCATGATAGGTGGCAAAACATGTATGTAGAGGATTACCTTTTACATTGTAAGTCAACAAACTTAAAAAAAAAAATTGAGTATGTGTGGTTAAACCCAAACGCAAATTCACAATTTTAGCAAAAAGTACTAAAAATATTTAGATTAACTACGATGTTAAGTTTACATCATAATACGTTAAATTTTTGTGAAATGGGCCATATTTCAGGGTGTTTTTTATCCCCCTTCTTTTGTAAAAAATCCTAAAACAAAATATACCCTGTACACTGGCGAGTAGTTTCCAGTTGCCATACAAAAAATTACTGTAATCGACCAAGCTACACGAGGACTATCTGCGCTAGCCGTCCCTAATTTAGCAGTGTAAGACTAGAGGGAAGGCAGCTAGTCATCACTACCCACCGCCAACTCTTGGGCTACTCTTTTACCAACGAATAGTAGGATTGACCGTCACATTATAACGCCCCCACGGCTGAAAGGGCGAGCATGTTTGGTGTGACGAGGATTCTTACAGTAAGGTGTAATAGAAGTAATAAGAATAGTTATCCCTTAATAGTAAACGTTGCTTTATTTATAACGTCTTTATTATTATTATACACTATATTTAGTAACAACTATTGTCCTTACTGGTGTATGTTTGTGGAATATTCATAATAAAAGTGGTAAATTATCTAAACATAATTAGCTTAAACACGTTGGTCTAGTTCCTTAAGGGAATTAAGTTTGTAGGAATAAAACTGGTAAATAATACTGTAATCTGTGATAAAAAGTTACAGACACATACATATATACACATATTTATTCTATATTAAATTATCTGTGATGGTAAGTTCGCGAAAGTACTTTTTTTTTTAATATTCTACTTGATATCTGTTTTGTTTTTACAAGTTCAACGTGTGTATTATCAAATCTTTCAAAAGCCAAAACTGAATTTGAGCATTCGAGGTACAGAAGAAATAATTCGCGGAACCAAAATACAATTATCACAGCAGTTATCAAAATGTTGCTCAACTATCTTAGGTAATCTTGATCACTTTGCAACTGTATTGCATAGATGAAATTGCACTTTTTTTAATAGCTTTTTCTTGTCTGTGAGGGGAGTTCAATTAGCTGTAATACTCGTCGAAAGTTTGGCGCAATAAATGACCTTAGACGTCAGGTTATAAAGTTCACAATAAGTCTGAAGACCTTTATTCCATTGACTTTCGTTTCGCCATGAAGGTTTTGGACAAACAAAAGACAGACGTTTTTTGTTGTTGTTTTTTTTGTCTCGTCGACCTGTCGGAAACAAAAGACAGACGTTTTTTGTTGTTTTTTTTTTTTGCTCGTCGACTTGTCGGAAACAAAAGACAGGCGTTTTTTGTTGTTGTTGTTTTTTTTTTGTCTCGTCGACTCGTCAGGTTATAACATCCACAGCCGTCTTGACTTATTGATTGTTTCTTTGGCTGAAATATTTTGAAAAATCTCAGCATCGGCCCAAGGTGAGATGATACACATAAACATTTTCCTTGTTCTCTGGTCAGTGAGGAATGCACTAAAAGGAACGAAGGCCTCTCCTCCTTGAACAAATTGCTTAATTTTCGCAAAAATTTCTGGAAATTCTGTAGCAAAATTGATTCCTCGTTCCTGTAGATGGCGCTTCACAGCTTCACATTCTTGGTGTCTCTGTGTCAGGTCAGATCCAGGACCCTTAGCTATCGCGAATAACACGGTTTGAAGGTCATCTTCCGGTTGAGGTGGCACAAGCTGCAACTTGGTCCCTCTTGTGATTATTTCTCGCTCCACTAAGGCACCCGCACCACTCGACATCTCTTGAGTTATACGTACAGCTGCTAGAAGCACAAACTTCTTCCCTGGGTTGTAGCGGTCACAGAGGGAGCGGATGTGGGTATACACCTCGGTGCCCATTTCCTGGGGCACGATCTCACATCGAGGGATGTAGATATTCTGTCCGCGAGTCGAGCCCCAACCTTTACACATGAAGTCAACAGCATCGTCAGTAGTGTAAAATACCAGCTTCACAGCTCCTCGTCCCCTGGAGAGATATCCTCGTCTTGCACACACGGAAAGGTTACGTCTAGAAACTGGGTCTTGACGAACTTTCGCCAGAATTTGTTGGCACACATTAGTGATCTTCGTGTACGGACACTGATTCTTATGATGATCCCAGTGAACTTTACGACAATGTCTGCTACAGTAATAGGTGTAACAGTTCGGACACATACGCAACTTGGTTCTCGCAACTTCTGCAGGCAAGACTTTAGAACACTTTGGACGGTTGCACGTGACTTTTTCCTGTCGCTGAGGTGACTCATACTGAGAAATTTCTTTATCTGTCGAGACTATTAATGCGCTAGTCTGATTGGTCGGATCCAGAGAGGAAGAGCACGAGATTACTTGGGTTTCCTCAGTAGACTCCTGAAAATATTGGCGCTGGTGTTGTGTAGTTACTGGTTTCAGAGTAGGCGATGACTTCTTGTTATCTATTGGATCTGAGGAATAATAAAAGAAGAAGAAAAAAAAGATGTTTCAAATCTAATTGATAACTAACAAAAAAAGAAACTGCAAAACGTGTATTTTAACTCTAAATAGTTTTGAAACACCCAATCTCATGTATGAAGAAGCCACATTGGGATAAAGTTTAATCAAAGAAGTCAACCAAAGTCATCTCTGTCCGACTATTAATCAAAGCGCAACTTTTCTACCGCTATGGTGCATTATCTGTAACATCCTTTTTTTTCTCTCTCTCTTTTTTTTTGTTAATACTTATCACAGATTTCTGGTGATTGAAAAACAAACAAAGAATACCGGGATAGGACATGCACGGGTGCAAATAGGTTTGATACTCCATAAAGGTAGTGGTGTCTAGACGAGAAACTGCTCGTAGGCATTTTTCTGGGGGGAAGAGGATGAAGGGAATGGGTGTAAAGAAGAGAGGGGATAGAAATATGGGTTGATTAACGTCAGTTTTATTTTGCTTTCCTTAGTTATATCACATATGTAAGGCCCGGCTTGGCCAAGTGGTTAGGGCGCTTGACTCGCAATCTGAGGGTCGTGGGTTCGAATCCCCGTTCCACCAAACATGCTCGCCCTTTCAGCCAGTAAACGAGTAGTCCAAGAGTTGGCAGTGGGTGGAGATGACTAACTGAAAGGGCGAACACGTTTGGTGAGACGGGGATTCGAGCTCGCGACCCTCAAATTGCGAGTACCCTGTCCACCTAGCCATGCTGGACCCTAAATAAAGAGTTGATACTATATCACCATTCTTTATTAATGCTTGTTTGTTGTTGTTGTTTTTTGAGTAAGGTGATCTTATCTGACTTTTGGAGACATTGTTTGTTTGTTTGAAGTTAAGCACAAAGCAACACAATGGGCTATCTGTGCTCTAACCACCACGGGTATCGAAACCCAGTTTCTAGCGTTGTAAGTCCGCAGACATACCGCTGTGCCACTGGGGGGGGGGGGCATTTGGAGACATAAAGGAATGGTTTGTTGTTGTTGAAAAGAAACTCTTACCGTTTCGACGAAATTACCTTTATCAGGACCAGATGAAGGTCATTGAACATAAACTGACCAGATGATGGTCATTGAACATAAACTGACCAGATGAAAGTCATTGAACATAAACTGACGAGATGAAGGTCATTGAACATAAACTGACCAGATGATGGTCATTGAACATAAACTGCTTTTCGGCCATTTTGATCAAAATTTTGTATTTTCGGATTTCTTTCACTTCAAAATGCTTTCTCAACCCTCAAAAATCTATATGATATTAGTTAATCGTTTGTTTGTTTGTTGGGGGGGGGGTGAGGATTCTGCTTCTATAAATAAAAAAAAATGATCTTATATTTGTTGCAAAGTACTAATAACATCTATTATTTCAGCAAAAGACTCCTTCGTAGTTTGAGTTTTTTTCCAGTCTGCTTCATTTTGAACATTTTAAATCTTACCTTTCTTTTTGGGAAGTGTATCTTTGGAGAAGTGATCGCCTTCAAATGCGGCCGAGAAACTGGAGGCTGCCTTTTTCTCTGTTATTACAGGTCGCTGAATACCTGTATTACTTAACCTTCGAGTAGGTAATTCCCGTTGAACCTCGCGACCACTTAAGACTGTTGTAGATGACGTCGTGTCAATACGTGAATTCTTACGAGTATCTGTCATTTCAGACCAATCAGTGGAGTGAAGTGTTCGTCCTTCACAAACCATTTGATGGGCAGTGGGGCTGCCATGAAGTATCGTCGTGGGGCTAGAGGATCGAGAACTGGAAGGAAGGGCCAATAAAGAATCCAGAACATCGTCTAGTGACGTAATAATGTTTTCTCTCTCTTCCCGAAATTCTTCTAGTACACCTAAAAGATAAAAATAAACCGGATAACTTGAAGAAAAAAAATATAATTTTGTTACAGCCTTTCTTGTAGAGTATTAAAACATCAAGAACCTTTTACTGGTGTTTAACGTATTGTTAATATTATTTCGAAAATAGTATTCTAAAAAGATTTTAAGAAATACTTTTCCCAGTCAAATACGTAGGAATGGCCCAAGGTTAAGAAGAAATACGCAGTTGTTTTCCAGATCTCAATTAAAATACAAACTTACTTTCCAGAGCTGAGGTACAATATGGAGTTTATTTCTATAACTCAATTAAAATACAGTGTTTGTTTATTTTGAATTTTGCGCAAAGCTACGCGAGGGCTATCTGCGCTAGCCGTTCCTAATTTAGCAGTGAAATACTAGAGGGAAGGCAGCTAGTCATTACTACCCACTGCCAACTCATGGGCTACTCTTCTACCAACGAATAGTGGGAGTGACCGTCACTTTATAACGCCTCTACGGCTGAAAGGGCGAGCATGTTTGGTGGGACGGGGATTCGAACCCGCGACCCTCAGATTGCGAGTCGAGTGCCCTAACCACCTGGCCATGTCGGGCCCTTAGTTGGGTATTAAAACACCATCTTTACTGGTTAGAAAATATCGGTAAATGACGTATATTATAAGAATTCGTTTTTTCTATGATGTAGAATAATATTTATTTAATCATTGGTTTGTGTGCGCTGCTCTAGGTAACTGTAATTTAGTACCTCAATAATACCTTTGGCATGGTACCAGTACCTTTCATTAACGCATTATTTGTTTAAAAACGTTATTGTTAAACTCTGAGAAAATAGACAAACTGTCGTCGTTGTCTCGATATGACTTTAAACTTTCCAAGGCTGAGGTAAAATATATTGAGTTGCCTTTCAGGGTTAGATAAATTATAGTATGCTTTTCAGGACTGTGGAGAAATTCGCAGTTGCTTTTCAGGGCTGAGGTAAAATATATTGAGTTGCCTTTCAGGGTTAGATAAATTATAGTATGCTGTGGAGAAATTCGCAGTTGCTTTTCAGGGCTGAGGTAAAATATATTGAGTTGCCTTTCAGGGTTAGATAAATTATAGTATGCTGTGGAGAAATTCGCAGTTGTTTTCCAGACTTCAATTACATACGTATTTACTTTTCACGACTGATATAAAAACTGAAGAGGTGTTCAGTACTAATATAAAACATGGGTCTTTGCAAAACTCGGCTATAAAACGGGGATTTTCAAGGTTCATAAATAATACGGAGGAGATTTTCATAGTTCAGGAACAATTCGGTAGAATTTTGCACAACTCAGATAAAATATAAAAGTGTTTTTAAAAGTTCAGATAAAATGCGAAAGAGCTTTGCAAATTTGCAATAAAATATTGTGGAGCTTTGTAAAATTAAGATTTAATACGGCGGAGCTTTGCAAAATTAAAGATAAGTACTGTGGAGCTTTGCAAAATTAAGATTTAATACGGCGGAGCTTTGCAAATTAAAGATAAATACTGTGGAGCTTTGCAAATTAAAGATAAGTACTGTGGAGCTTTGCAAAATTAAGATTTAATACGGCGGAGCTTTGCAAATTAAAGATAAATATTGTGGAGCTTTGCAAAATTAAGATTTAATACGGCGGAGCTTTGCAAATTAAAGATAAATACTGTGGAGCTTTGCAAAATTAAAG